CTGCCTGGGGACTTCTGGGAGTTGAAGGCTACTTGTCTCAAAATGACTGAGGTTGAGAAACACTGAAGTACAAATTACAATGTTACTGTGTTATTGTAACTGTTACTATGCCTCAGGTTAGGTTAGATGCTTGTTAATTTAATAACCGTGTTGGTTTTAATTCCTTGGCAACAATATAAAAGTGGTTTGTCATAGGTTTCTTCTGAGATGTTTTTTCAGCTTCCACATCCAAATAATAGCCCTTTTTTTTTCTTTTTTTAAATTTATTTTATTAAGTACAAAGAAAAAAAAAAGAATTAAAAACATTGAACATGGTAAATCGTCTTTTAATTCTTTTTTTTCTTTGTACTTAATAAAATAAATTAAAAAAAACAAAAAACAAATAATAGCCCATTTTGTCTCTTTTCATTTTGATATCAGAGTTTGCCTCCTGCTATAAAATCAAGAGGAACGTAACCGCCCCTTTTTCAAAGCCAGTAGCACATTTTATTGAACAGACAAAGTTTTATAGCTTTGTTTTACTTCATCAAATGTGATTTTCTGCTACTGTAGGCTAACACGCCTCTCCTCCCACACTAACTGTTGTAGAATTGTGTTAAACCTTTCCGTCAGTTAGGATTTACTTCATTAGCTGTGTGGAGGGTTACTTTAAGTTGCTGGACTTCATAAATCTGGTTCTGTATTTTTATACAAAGAGACCGAAACGTCAAGGTTTATATGTGTTATGCTAACCCCTAATATGATCTATTTGGCATGTTTGGTTTAGCATGTTGCACCAACCTATCCATTATAGCTTAAATATCGTTTAGCTGGCTGTGTGCATCCAGGCAACTGTGGTTTATTATGCTAATCATGGCTAAGCAAACTACATGAAGTAGTAGGAATCCAGACAAAGTACTATTACAGGACTCTGTTCTGGCCTAGCATGATGTACAAACAAGCCATGGTGGTTACATATTTTTTTAAAAAGAATCCTTGGTTAACATACCTGAACCCAACAGAGAAAAACAGCAAAAAGTTAAAAACAGCATGCAACAAAATGAAATAACCACATTTGAAGCAAGTAACTATAAAACTACACATCAGTATAGTAGTATTTCAGCCCCATTCCTGATTTAGCCCACAACACCAGGGTTAAAGGTGGGGGGGGCAGGGAGCGAAGGTACTGTTAGTCCTTGACTTACGACCACAATTGAGTCCAAAATTTATGTTAAGTGAGCGTTCCCCATTTTACAACTTTTCTTGCCAGGTTTGTTAAGTGAATCACTGCAGTTGTTAAATCAGTAACCTGGTCGTTAAGTGAATCTGGCTCCCCCGTTGACTGCTTGTCAGAGGGGGAATCAGTTGCCGAGCGTCTGAATGTTGATCACATGACCCTGGGGATGCTACAACGGTCGTAAGTGTGAAAAACAGTCGTAACTCACTTTTTTCAGTGCCGTTGCAACTCCGAACAGTCGCTAAACAAACTGCCGTAAGTTGAGGACTAAGACCTGTCGTTGCAGTTGTATTTGCACACTTGACTCGGCTATTAGATCAACAATCTTTCTGGATTTGCGCAACACGCTGAACGATCCGGGCTAAACCGATCCGAATTGTTGGCCGGAGCGCAGCCACGCAGGGAGCGGCAGAAACCCCACCGGTGGAGCTCCGGGAAGGATCCCCCTGCCTTGAGGAGGGAAGAACCGAAGGAAGCCCAATTCAAGGTGCTGCTTCGACCACCTGCCGGGCAAACGGAGAGAAATCCTCGGCCCTTACCTGCCTCTCCTTCCTCGCGCCTCCCGCGCTCACTTTTTCACCCCGGGACGCGAAGGGGGGGCGTGGGGGGGTGGGAGATAAACCGGAGTGGCTTCAGATGCCGGGAACTTCCGCGAGTTTGTCAACTGCGCAACTTCGCTTTCTGCCTCTCCGTCCTTTGGACTCCCAAACCTGTTTGACCAGCCCAGGTGGAGTCCCTGGGAAGAGCTGCGGGGGCCGCTCGGCTCAGCCCGGCCCGCCCGGTTTCAGAGTTGGGGAAAGACACACACACACACACACACACAGGGACAGACAGACAGACAGACACACACACACACACACACACACACACAGGGACAGGGACACAGGGACAGACACACACACACACACACAGGGACA